CATAACATAGCCCAATATTATTAGATAAAGCAGCTGGATTTAGAAGAGGCCGTGGCACCAGGGATATATTTGTTGGTGACAGATGGATCTTGGCTGAAAGCAGAGAATACCAGAAAGAATTTCTTTGTGTGTGTTTCATTGACTATACAAAGGCATTTGACTATGTGAATCATGACAAATTATGGCTAATATTGAGAAGAACAGGAATCCCAGAACACTTAATTGTCCTCATGTGAAACCTGTACTTAGACCAAAGGCTGCTGTGCTAACAGAGTGAGGGACCACAGCATGGTTTAAAATCCGGATCTGTGGACATCAGGACTGTATTCTCTCTCCATATTTATTCAATCCATATGCTGAGCAAATCATTCAAAAAGCTGGGCTCTGTGAAAAAGAATGAGGCATCGGGATTGGCAGAAGACTCATCAACAACCTGCATTATGCAGGTGGCATAATTCAGGTTGGCTTTGCCAAGGTGAACAGGACTTGAAGCTTACTGAAGATCAGAGACTACAGCCTTCAAATCTATTTCCCACTTTTTGAGTGCCAGGCGGCCTTCCACAGAGATTGTATCATTTTACATTCCCACCAGCAATGAATAAGTGTTCCATTCTCTTCCAATCTCACCAGCATTTGTTGTTTGCCTCCTTATTGAACTTTGCTATTGTTGCTGGGATGAGATAATATCTCATAGTTGTTTTACCCAGAAATTCCACTACTGGGAATATACCCTAAAGAAACCAGAGCCACAACTCAAACAGATGCATGTACTCCCATGTTTATTGCTTTGTTATTCACAAAAGCAAAGAGATGGAAGTAACCCAAGTGCCTATCAACAAAGGAATGGATAGAAAAACTATGGTATATCCACACAATGGAATACTATGCAATGGTGAAAAACAATGAACTCATAAAACATAAAACATGAAGAAGACTGGAGGACATTATGTTGAGTGAAATATTTCAGTCACAAAAGGACAAATACTGCATAACACTGCTTTAAGAAAACAGACTGACATGGAGGATTGGGGAGGGAATAGGAAAAGAGTGGAGAGATAATGAACACTCCATTGGAACAGATGGAGAAGAACTGTCTTAAAGGAATACATGATTAGGAATTATATGTATGACAACAATCTGGAACAAAGGGTGCATTGCAAAGTGGACTGGGGAGGGGGAAGGGAAAGGGAGGGAGGAAAATGTGCAATGATGAATGAATTAAAAATATTTGAAAGATAAAGAAAACAAAACCAACCCAGTAATCTTCACAACTGGGCTCACGAGCAACACCATGGAGAAAGGACTGAAGCTGTCAATGATCTCATTCTGTGTGGATCATTCATTTACACCCATGGTCACTGTACTCACGAGATCAGAAGACACGTTGCACTAGGGAAATCTGCTGTCAGCTCTGCCTCATCAAAGTTTGAGAGGCCAGAAATGCCAATCTAAAGACTACCTGTTCCCAGCCATGACGTTTTCAATTGCTTCCTACTCATCTGAAGGTTGGGCAATGAATGAATAATCAAAGAAGAATCGCTGCTGCTGAACTGTGGTAAAGAGGAGCCCTGCGTATCCCAGGGACAACCTCAAAACCCCACAGGTGTACCGTCCTGAAGGAGATGAAGCTCCGTCTTACACATTTTCAGCATGTTTTCAGGAAAGGCCAGTCCTTGCAGGGAGATATGCTGGGAAGGGCAAAGGGTCAGCAAGAGAGAGGGAAACGGTCCACGAGGTGGACTGATGCAGTGAGTGGCCCAGCGGGCCTGGGCTGGACAGAGATGGCCAGCATGGTGGGGGACAGGGCAGGTTGTTAGGAGTGGTAGTTGATTGGACAGCACTCAACCACAGTCCAGTATTTTACTTCCTGTGAGTCGTGACTGCTTGTGAGACCAACATTAAAAAACAATGAAGACCTCACAGTCCTTAGAAAACCAACTAGCTCGTGTCAGAGTGGAGGGTGCCGAGGTGCTGTCGCTAACGCACTGACTCATAGCTGACCCTCCAGTGGGTTTTTGGAGGCTGTAAACCACATGATAGGATATAGTCCATGTTTCTCCAGTGGAGCAGATGGTAAATTTGATCCATCTGCCTCTGGGTTGATAATCCAACTCCCTACCCACTACGCCATCAAAGCTCCCACCTGTAAAGATTACAGCCTTGACAGCCCTCTGGGGCGGTTCTGTTCTGTCAAAATGCATTCAGTGGCCAGGACTGTTGTGAGCATCAAACTAATAAAGCAGAACTTCAACAATGTATTAGCAAAACAAACTCAAAGAGCAGAGCAAGGTGGGAACCCCAGACAGACAGCACCCTGATACAACAGGCAGCAGCACTGGGACTCCTGGTAGGTCTGCATTCCTAGGCAGCCCAGGTTGAGACAGTGGGAGACAGCAGTCCAGGACAGAGGTGGCCCCAGAACTTTATTAAAGGGGAGCTTGTTCCTGGACTGCCAATCTGCTGGGGGATGGAGAGTGGAGGTGCACCTCCAGAAATCTTCTAGTAGCTCTGCATCTTCCAGGAACTGCCAGCTGCCACTGAGGATGGATAGGAGATGTTTCAAATGAGTGGTGGACCACCAGGGGCCAGCTGTGCCCTGAGTGTCCAGGAGTCATCCAGGCTCAGGGCAGTGACTGTCCTGAGTGAGATCACCTCCTGCCACTTGGACAGGCTTCTCCATGTCCCTCTCACCCTTGCATCAGTGATCCTATCCTGAAGGAGCTGACACTGGGGAGGGGGACAGACAGAAATCAGCCAACACTTGTGAGTGTTGGAAAGAGGCCAGGAGTTAGTGAGTCGAGGGTGAGGTCTGAGCATCCTGAGTGGACAGGGGTGAGCAGGAGCCCCAGTGTGAGAGCTCGGGCCAGGTGGTGAGGCCCAGCTGGATGATGAGGCCTGCGGTGGGAGCTCTGGGTGGATGGTAAGGCCAGTGGCAGGATGTATCTGGAAGTCTAAGGCGCAGGGCAACTAGAGAGGCAAAAAGGAAGTGTAAGACACTTCCCATAGTAGGGAGGTCCGAGAGCAGGGAGGTCTGAGAGGCCGGAGAGGGTTGGGCCCACAGCTGGCCTTGGATCTCACTGTGCGGACAGCTGGTCTTCTTGTATGCGGTGGGGTGGGGGGTGCGGGGCAGGGCACCAGAGGGTCCTGAGGTGGCCTGGAATCTAGCCTTCCTCAGGGTCCTTCTGTCACTGGGTGGGAGCAGGGGAGGCGTTGTCCCATTTCTGGAAGATGCAGCAACATGCGGAATGCAGGGAGCAGGGGCTTGGACCATCCAGGGGACTCCAAGACCAGCAGCAGAGAGGTGGACTTGGGGCCTGCCAGGGGTCGGGCTCACCCAACCCAGCCTTGAATGGGAGGCCTCCTAGGAGCCATTGCTGGGGGTGTGTGGCCTGCACATTGTTCCCACCCCTAGGACAACAGAGGCATGGCTCATGGGCGGAGCTCACCGATCTTGGGCTTGGCAGGACTCCATTCCCCACAGCCTTCCTTCAGGGGTCGGCTCAGCTGAAAGGAAGGAGATGCCAGCTTCTGACCATGAAGATTATCTAGCCCACCCCACCGTCAGAGGAAATCAGGAGGGCAGGTGCTCAGGGGCCCAGACAGGACTGAGCGACAGGCCTCGCCAAGCTCTGTAGGGTCTCCAGGGACCTCCAAGTACTCAGCCAGGGCAGGGAGTGAGGCCAGGAGCCTGGCCATGACTGAGGTGTGCACCCTCGGGGTCTCCCAGTGAGCCTGCCTGCCTCCCAGGCCTGTCCTGTCCCTGTGTATCTCACCTGCAGCCCACCAGCCACACGCAGGGCTGTGCTCCCATAAGAGTCAGCCTTTTCTGCCCCAGGGGCCACATCAATGAGCACTGCGCTGTCCTCCTCCCAGGCCCGAGGATGCAGCAGTCCACTTCTGAACCAGCAAGACCAGGGTGGCCAGAGGCAGAGGGACCAGTCAGATGGTCTTGTGTCCCACACAGCCCTCCAGATGAGGGGACTGACCACATGCCCCACAGCCCTCAGGGTGAGAGGATCAACCCTATGCCCCACACAGCCCTCTGGGTGAGGGGGACAGGCCCCACACAGCCCTCTGGGTGACGGACATGGTATAGAGGATGTGGGACAGAGGGGCCTAGAGCCTAGAGCTGGGGAAAGTGAGACCCACTGGAAGTTGTCTTGGTCCCACTGTGACCTGCGCCCACTGGTCCCCAGGGCTTAAAGCACCCGTCACTGACAATGAAACCAGAGCTGTGGAGGTTCCCCCCACCCCCGACACTGTGGGCTCAGGCCTTCTCCCACCTGTCCCCCAACCCGTACACCACAGAATGTTCCCACCTGGTACAGTGGCTCCTAGAGGTGACCTCCAAGGTCATGGCCATTTTCTAGCCCTAGTAGGGTGTAGTCGCTGATCTGGCTGGCCAAAGGCAGAGATCTGGGAGAAGTATACAGTCAAGAGTGCCAGCCCATCCTGTGGTATGGTCCAGTGGGGACTCCTGGGTGACCCACATAGCCTGGTAAACAGCTGGTGCCGGCAGGAGGGGCTGGCATGGCTGGCCAGCTCTAGGGCGAGGTCTCTCCTGGAACAGGATCTACCTTTGTTTGAGAAGGAGGTGTGGTGTGGGGCTGGTCTCTGCAAACAGAGGCTACTGTGTCCCTGGAGCCTCCATGGGCATCACTTACATGCCGTTGGAGCCAGCTGCCACTGGGGATTCCCCTTAGTGGATCTGACTGCGGACCTTGGAGAGTGTTACCAGGCAGGTCCAAGCTCCCCTTGTGGCATGGTGAGGTGAAATAAGTACTATCAGATGGGGTGACGGGGTGGAGATGGGGAGTGAGGGCTGGGTAGGTGTCAGCTGGGGATGGACAGGGGTTCTGAGTGGGTGAGGCATGGGGGGACAGTGGCCTGATGCTCATTGGGCAAGCAGGTATCATGTGGGGATGAACAGCTGGGGGTGGAGAGGTGGCGCTGCCATCTGAGTGGCTGGCTGGAGATATCATCCTAGAGGTGAAGGGGTGTCAGCTGAGGGAGTGGCAGGTGTAAGCTGGTGAGGGTGGAGAGGTAGGAGTAGGGGTGTGCATTTCTAAATGCACTTGCTGTAAGTGGAAACCACCCCAAAACTCCCTCAGTGAAACAGGTCGTTGCGCTCACAAGCGCTGGGGTAGGACAGCTGGTGGGCTGACCGCAGCCTCATGCTCCTCAGTCTGCTGCAGGTCAGCCATCAAGTCGACATGAGGTGGCAGGAAGGGGGGCTGCCCACTGATGCTTCTCAGGAAAGCTGGTGTCACTGGCTGGCTATGTCTTGGGGGCACAAGGCTGTACGGAAAGGGATCCATGTCCATGTCCTGATAGATTTAGACCAATAGCAGCAGTCTATCCCTGGAGCAGAAACACTGCTGTCTTGGATAAGCCAGTGCCCAGAGGGGTCCTCTGGTCCCCAAGCTCTCCCAGGCTCGTCTGGTGCCAAGGAAGGTCCCCTCTGATACTGATGGTTGGCCAGTGTACATCCCACCCCCAACCCTCTGTGCCACTTTCACCTCCTCTTTGTGTTTATGGTCCAGCTAGGGGTGGGGGACACCAGGCATCCTGTGTCCCCAAGGCAGCTCTAATGACCATGTAGTACCAGGATCCTCTCCACTGCCCCTTCCCTTCTGAGGACTCGCCTTTTGCCAAGGCTGTGGTTGCTGTCAGCCTCTCTCCCCCCAGTCTGGCCCTCAGCCTTCTTTCTCCAGATCTGGACCCCCTTGGCAGACTCAGGTTCAAGTGCCCCATCAGGGGAGTTTGCGTCCTCACTCCTCCTCCCATCCTCTTAGTCCACTGGGTGCCCCCATCCCCATACATTTTGTTAAGATATGTTCCCAGGCAGTAGTGGGTCCAACTCAGGACTGTCTTTCCTTGCTATAGACCCTAAGACCACCTAGAAGGTCCTTGGCTCTACCTGCTTCCCCTCCAGGGTCCTGAGGCAAGGGAAGATGACTGATGGAAGTCCAGGTACCACCACTCACCTCTTTCTGTCCTTGTTGCCTGTTGGGGCCACCACTGGGTCATGTGTTGCCACCCTGTACTCCAGGTGAAAGGGACTGGGTGCAGCTCTGTGGTCCCAGGCTGCTCTGCCTTCTGGACCTGGTGCCCAGGTAGCAGTGGGGCCTCTCAGAGGGTTCCGGTGGTCTAGTCCCTCACCCAGCAGGGACCCAAAGAATTCAGGGGACAGAGAACAGGCTGCCAGTGATGACAGTGAGGGGCCTGCCCTCAGGTGGTGAAGCTGAACTGAGTGAGGAGTCTGACTGGGACACGGAGGCTACAGTGACTATGAGGTGGTGTCACCTAGCACGTGTGCTCATTTCTAAGCTGCTAATACACTCCCTCCCAAGAGGACAGCATGTGCTAACATAAACGGACTGATCACATAGTCAGTCTTACAGCATTTGATGACACAACCAATCACACACTCACAGTCCTACCAGAATGCAGTAACACAGACTAACCGTACATTCAGTCAGACAGCAGTCGTACCATAAGTCAACCATACATTCAGTCTACAGCATGGAGTGACAGGACAACCATTCAGTCCTACAGGACATGGTGACACAGACAGACCTCACATTCAGTCTACGGCATGTGGTGACACAGACTGACCACACTTTCACAACAGCACATTCAGTCCTATAGCACGTGGTGACCTAGACTGACCACATATTCAGCCGGACAGCATATGGTGACATAAACCAAGAACACATTCACAGCCAATGTCCAATGACATAGACTGACCACACGTTCAGTCCCATAGCACATGGTGGCATAGATTGACCGTATTCAGTCCTACAGCATATGGTGACCTAGACTGACCACACATTCAGTCCTACAACATGGGGTGACCTACAGTGCACAGTGGCACAGACCAACTGGTCCTACAGTACGTGGTGTCACAGAAACGACTGCATATTCTCTACCCTGACAGCATCCACCTTGAACACTGACATTTAACAGAAGCCTAGGCCAGCACTACCTTCAATCTTAATGGGATGATGGATGGGGCACACCCTCCCATTTGTCCATCAGGCCTTCGATGGGGACAGTCAACTCTTTACCTGCCTGTCCTTTGACCTGGGAGTGATGATGGGCGTGTCCAAACCCCAGCCGACTTGGGAGTTGTGAAGATGGTGGCGTGAACTCCTGTCTGGCGAGCAGGGCTGCCGTGTTGAGGGGGGAAGTGCTCTAGAAGGGGCCCCTCTTGGCCACAAGTCCACCCTGGCATGGAGCAGGGCCCTTGGAGCAGGATTCAAACCCAGGGCAGATGACTGTGGATTTTATTAAAAACAGCCCAACAGTGGCTAGCAGGGAGGGGAGGGCACAGGGCCGTGATGCAGCGCATGATTTTGAAGACGTGCTGTGTTTGAATGCAGGCAATCCCTCGCACTGAGAGCAACAGCAGCTGGGGCATCCTCGGCCACTGCCTGGGTCCCGGCACCGCAGGAAGGATCTTCTTGCACCCCAGTTCTTGGAGATTTAGTTATTGTTTAACATATAACATTTTGTCAAATTCGGCACCGATCGGTCTTCAGGACTAAAGGGCTCTCGGCTGACACAGGCCATGATGCTCGATGGCCCTCAAGACCGTGCCCATCCTCCCTCGGGTCCACCGTGTCACATGGTGCCAGCAGGGCGCAGTCTCCCTCGTGGCTACAATAACGTCCATAACTGGTTAGGAGCATGGCACCGCGTGGCAGGGTTTAATCGTAATGGACTCAGACTGGAGGGTGTCACATACGCTAGTGCCTTTATTGGCATCGGGCTCGTGACTCGTGGCAGAGTGGCAATTTCAGGAGCAACAGGTCGACTAACCACCCGTGGCTAGGAGGTTCCTGGATGAATGGAGCACAGGTGAGCGGGCTCAGAACCTGACGAAGGTGGCATCAATCTGCCGCACGGTGGGGAGGGCCAGCATGATCTTCCTCCTGTACTGGGGGTCCTTCTGCAGGGGGTTCCGCTCCAGGTACACCGTCTCCAGGTTCCCCGCACCTTTCAGTTCATCCAGGTCGCTCCAACTCTCAATGAGGTTGTCATTCATCTGCAGGAAGGACCCCCCCCCAACATCAGACAAGGCCACAGGTCTGACCCTCATGGACACACCCAGAGCTCCTGTACCCAGACTAGACCTCAGGCACATCCTGAACCCTGTCTGTGCCCTGGCACATCTGGCTGCCACTCGGTAGTGGCCCTGCTTGCCCTCAACACCTGAGAAGAAGGCAGTGCTGGTGACAGGCTTCCCTCATCGGTGCACATCCACCAACATTGTGTGGACCAGGTCTCAGTGCTGCTCACGGGACAGGAAGAGGCAGCTGAGAACCTATGACATGCTTCTGCACCTGCTCCAGGGGGACTCCCCTAGGGGTGCACAGTCTCAGGGGGACTCCCTGCCATGTGAGCACCAGCACTGGGGTGTGCAACCGTGACTGCCCCACTGGCCCAGCTTTGAGTCTGGTCCATCTTATTTGGCTTTTTAATTTTTATTTTATTTGTCGTGTGCTGTCAAATCAGATCCGACTGGCACAGGAGGAGAATGCCCCTCCTTCTCCAGTGGAGCATCTGGTGGATTCAAACCGCGTGCCTTTGGGAAGTCTGGTCCATCTTAATCCTTACCCGGCAATCAGTAATCTCTGATAAATTAGCCTGTCATCAGATGTTCCTCTCTATGGCTAAGCAACACTCTGAGGGTCCCTACGTAAGACTCATCTGAAAGCTGCATGTGACCCTTAAATGCCTGACAGAGTGTTCTCATAATGCATCTCTCACCACCAGTCACGACTTCAGGTACCCAGCACAAAAGGCCACGTGGCCCTTTCCACTCTGCAGACAACCCACTGGAAAATGATAGTCAGTCCTGCTTCTCCTGGAGAAGGACATGTGCTTACCCCAACACCCTGAGCATATCCCTGCTCTGAGCTGCCTTCCAGGCTTCAGAAAAGGTTCTGCTTTATGCTACTGTACAGATAAACAAGCAGGAGCCTGGAGCGCCTCAGCTCACACACACCTGTCTTACTCGGTGTAAGGACGTGGCTCTTATCCACACCAGCCAGCAGGTGTGCACAGGAAACGGGAGAGCTGCTTACCTGGTTTCCACTGAGTTTCTAAGAACAGGGTTGAGTGAAAAACAGTGCTAATAAAATCAGCTCTGTGAACACCCGAGGGCACGGTGCCAGGAGCAGACCCCGAGGTCACACAACGTGCTGAACAACGTCACCTGGGAAGCATGAGTCACAAGCACAAGAACAGTGACCCGTAGGTCCTTTGTAGACGGCACAAGCCTTCGGTGCAAACAGCCTGGGGCCAAGACAAGCTCTTTGAAAGCCAGCTGTGGACAGAACCAGCTGAGGGGCAGATTGCAGCTAGGCTTACAAAGCATCGTGACAGGAATCACCGTGCTTGGCACAGACAGAAGTCAGGCCTGGTCACCAGGGTTACCCGAGGAGTGGCTGATGGAGACAGAATGCTACAGAGGTGCTTCCTGAAAGAGTTAAGACACTGAGTCAAAAGTTTTTAAAGCCTTCCTCATTAACAAGGCCACCGCGTCAAGTGTGGGATTCTGTGACGCACCTCAACTGCATCGAATAATAATTTCACTGCCTGCCAGATCAAAAGTCTAACGCACCTGAAAGGAAAACAATAAAATGTAGACCATCAAAAGTCTGTGCACAATGTCCATAAAAATGAAGACATTTGATAGAGAGATTTAAAGGAAACCACCAACATAATTAGGAGAGTACGTAGTAACTGTAAAAATCTAATGGGGTTTTTAAACCTGTAAGACACTCTTTGAAATAAAGAATTTACTACAAAAGACTGAAGTCTTTGAGTTGTGGTGTTTGAGAAGTGCTGAGTATCCCATGGACACTCCAAGAACAAACACGCCCTGGAGGCTGCGCAGCCCCAGGCCTCCTTCGAGGTGAGGATATGGAGCTTCAGCTCACGCTCTGGGCATGTTGTGAGCAGGCGCCCTTCCTGGGAAAGAGCATCCTGCTTGGAAAGGTGGAGAGCCAGTGAAGAGATGAAGGCCCTCAATGAGACGAGTAGACACAGTGGCTGCAGCTATGGGATCAAGTATACCAGTGATGAGACGGATGGCACAGGATGGGGCAGGGTTCAGATCTGCTGTTTGTAGGGTCACTGTAAGTTGTATTCTACTCAACAGCACCTAACAATAACAGCAACATGGATTTAACAGTAGAATGGTTCTTGCATCAGAAAAGATTGTAACTTTGCAGCAACAGAAACAATGTGAACGAAAACATACAAAGTTACAAGTCTGGTAGGGAGCCTCAGCAATCTCACAGATGAAGTATGTATAATTGGAGTTTCAGACAGGTTTGGAGGAGACAAAATACTTGAGAGAATTTCAGCAACTTTCCCACTTTTGTTGAAACCATGGCTAAATCTGCAGATCCAAGACGTGCAGTAGAACGTCAGCTCTGACTTGGCATTCCCTGGAGCAGAGCCTGCAGACTTTTTTTGCATTGTTTTCTCTTCCCACTGGTTCTGTTAATATTTCTCTTAAAAAAACACACCTACAGCCAAATGCCAAACAGATGGTAAAGTCCAAGAGAGCTACTGCAGAAACCTACCAGACACTTCCTTTCACTGCTGCAGGCTACCTCTGCATTGCACATGCTTGCACTTAGTTGGAGTTTGGAAACCTTTTACTCACACAGCAACTCTAGAATCCAACCATATACAGCTGAGGGTTTTGCACTCTGATCACTGGAATCCTGTTAAATGCTGTTTTCATTCCGTTTGTATTTGGGTTGGGTGAGTTCTGAGATCTTGCTTCTCTAACAAATGCCTGGTGATGCCAGCCAGGGCTGCTGGTCTGTGGACCAGGGTCGTGTGCAAGGTGACACCCAACACCAAAATGCCTTACTTGGGAAGTCCAGACCTAAAGGACCAGAAATACTCAGATCCATCCACACAGCACTCCCCACATGGAGCAAACTTACCCAAAATTCCTGCAGCTCTGTTAGATGGCTGACATTTTCAATCTTTTTGATCCTATTTGATGCAATATCCAACATCGTCAGTTTGTTCTAAAACAAGGAAATAAAATGTGTCCTGGATCGAGGTTCAGGATGAGATGCCCGTGCAGGCAGAAGTGGGTGAGGGTTAGGGCTGTGGGGAAGACATCACATTTTCTGCCCTAGAGGGACAACATGCAGAGAAGGGTCGGAAAAGTGGCCCTGTCCTGTGCCACCTGGCTAGATTGGGGTCAGCACTTAACAAACAGCTCTGACATCATCACTGCTGGGATTCACAGCTGATTCTGCCACTTCAGCCAAGTGCTTCCTCACCCCTGCCTCCCACTAGAGGTGACCTGGCGGAGGGGTTGGGGGGGGGGCTGCAAGGTGTGGGGCGGGTGGGGCTGCAGAGATGCACAACAAGCACACAGTACTCATCACAAAGCATGCTCTGCACCAAGAAACCCTCCTCACACTACCCTGTCTTCACGTAGGGATGAGGAGCTGTATTGGGGAGCTAGGGACATGCAAGCCCCAAGGAGGAGGGGCAAGTTGGTGCCTAGCCTACAAGACTGCAGAATGTGCGCAGGCGCCTGGGCTCAGGGCACAGCAGCCACACAGCGGGCTGTCTAGGCTCAGCCCTGCCAGGATGACGCCCAAGGGACTCTCGTGGGGCTGGGACCTGGGAGTCCGACCTCAGCAGAGATGGCATTTTGTGTTAGCAGGAGCCACTCTGATTCTGTCCTCAAAGTGCCCATAAGATGCCCGCTTTTCAGCCAGGCTCTACGAAAGGGCAACAGGTTCGGTCTGATTTCAGGTCTGGGCAATGCTCTTTTCCAAGTTCAGAGTCCCAGGGCTTAAGGTAATAACTTGTGTTAAGGAGTGAAACTAGGCTTTGTTAAACCAAAGCAATTAGTAATTTTCTCCAAGAAAAACATCTATAAGACAGCCATCAGCTTCAGCTAACCATTCACTCCACTTGACAAGTATCCCCAACTTCTGATTGAAGATCCTTTCTTCATAAATTCTTGGGGTCCTAGGCCCACCTCTCCCCGGCATTATACGAAAGTTCAAGTGTCTCACGAGATGAGACAAAGACACACACACAGGCTTAGAGGAGCCACCACAGATGATCTCCTCACAGACTCAGCTCCCTAATATGATATACAATATGGCCAAGTCACCGAGGCCCAAGGCGAGAGGCTTCATCAGCCCTGATGCCCCCTGGTCACTACGGACACTCTGTGTGAGGCTGAGAGGCCACGTGGTGTAGCCTGATCCTTCCTGCTGTCAGCGAGGACTGAGGCTAGCTGCCCAGAGGCCCTCACAGGGTTCCAGAGCCAAAGGGAACCCGAGAGAGTCATAGAGGGAGAGGCTGGAGATGGGGACTGACAAAGGGTCCCTATCAGCCCAGACTGCTTTCCTCTCAGCATCTGCCCACTGGTTGTTCTGGCCATGTGGCAACAAGGCCAAGCAAGTGATAGATAGCCTGAGCCCTGAGCTCACAGACACTGCATTCCTTGTCATTTCGTGTTTCTAGAGAGGATGACGACACTATGAA